ATCTCCAGGCTGGGCTACTCTCCTGAGTTCCCACCGCTCAGTCTAACTGTGCACTTGCCTTCATCTGACTATTCCCCAGGCACCTAAACATCAACATATCCTAATATGTTCCCTCATCCCCTCCCCCCTATTTCTTTTACAACGTAGTATAACCTAATGGACGAGAGCACAGATGGTGGAGTTACCTCTCTAGGTTTGAGCCTAGATCTGTTACTTACTAGCTTTGTGACCTTGAGAAACATGTGACCTTTTTGTGCCTCTGTTTCCTCACCTGTGAAGTGAGAGTAACCACAGTACCCGCCTCATAGTGTTGTTATGGGGATCAAATAAGAAGACACCTGGCGCGCGGTAAACACTATATGCACATCAGCTATAATCCACTATTCCCGGCCAGTGCACCCCTGTTTAACCAGCTACCCAAACCAGAGACGTGAGATCGATCCCGTCTCCTTCCTCTCATTTCATTCCACATCACGGAATCATCAGGCCCTGCCAGCTGCCCATTCTCTGTGTCTCCTCTCCATCCCCAGCATTGCAGCCTTGGACCAAATCTTTGTCACCTCCTTCCTCAGGGACCTAACCTGGTTAGCGACTAGCCTGTCCTTTGTCTTTCCCTTTTTCCACATTCTCTGTATAGTCCCCGGTGATTTATGAAATCCACATCCGATCACTTAAAAGCCCTTCAGTGCCTTCTTGTTCTTGCAGAAAGAAAAACACATGCAGGTGAAGGCCTCTCCGATCTCCCCCACCGCCTCCTCCATCCCCTCCACCTCCTTCTGACCTCCCATTAGTGGTTAGTTCCTCGACCTCCCACATCCTTGCACATCCTGATCCCTCCTACCTGTATCTCTCTGACTAGTTCCTCGCTAGTCTCCCGAGCAGAATAGACTGTTCTCCGCTCTGTGTTGATACTTCAGGAACTTACCCTTGGACCTGTCGCGCTTACTGTAATCATTTGCATGCCCTTCTCCTCGAAGATGAAGCTTATTTATCTTTGAACGAATCAGCTACACAAATTAACTTCTCAGAGAGCATGATTTATGCCTCTTGTGTTTAGTCAAGGGCAGATGTTAAACACCTATCGAACAGATCATCCAGTTAATGATCATGTGTTTCTATATTGAACAAAAACATCTCTGCAGTTACTTTATTTGCAGTATGTGTGGGGATTCCTTTTTAGTTTTGTTGATATATTAAGTGTGTTCTCCTATGTTAGGCTTCCAAAGGTCAGTGATTTCCTGGTGGAGCAATAATAATGTTTCTTGTTAACTAAGTTTCTGGAAGAGCTAATAAGAAATATCATCAAAGCATGGGGATTATTCCCTACTTTTTGTGCAGGACAAGAAACCATGAAGGAACATTGACTTATTGCCTGAAGACCAGCTGTTAAGACTATGCAGAATAGTTCTATTTTTGAGGTGGACTGAGAGTGAAGAAAAAGCATTTGCATTGTAGTTGCTACGCGGTGAGAGAGAAAGCACTCATCCTGTCTTAAAATCTGTGGTCTACTCATAAATAAGGCATTCAGGCAATAGAATGGAGTCTGTTTAATCATGGCCAGTCTTCAGATTACTGTCCTCAATCTTTATCTTAAAGGTCCTTGTTGGAGGAAAATGGGATACAAATTTTCTTTTTGTATATATGCATTAGACCACAAACAAAAGAAATATGTAGTTTAAATCCAAAGTAATGCTAAAGACACAGTCATGACTTTTTCTACAATAAAATTCAGCAAAGTAATTTTCCTGGGAGATATACTTATGGGAGAAAACCAACCACATTTGCACAGAAAAAAAAAAAAAATTCAAATGGGTGATGGCACTCAGCGGTGACTGAATTATTCATGGTTGTTTGTGTCAGCGCTTTGACTCCCTGTTGATGGGACAGGAATGAGGACTGAGCTTTCCAAACCAGTGCAGCTGGCCAACACCAAGGAGACAGTTCAGGTGGGGTCTGAGGTCCCTCACCTCCAAACTCCATTCATGAAACGTTAAAATATTATATGTAGAGACTCAGTTTATTTTAGAGAAGAGAGTGCTGCACTATCAGGGAAAACATACTGTGGCTATATCGTAGCAATAATAATAGTAACGGTGCTACTTTTTTCTTTGGTACTTGGTGTGTTTTTTTTAAGTTGCCATATGTTTCATTTCCTTTGATCCACAGGATTATCTCAGTTTAGTAGCAAAAGAAACTAAGGTTTAGAGGGAACTTTGCCCATTCAGTGCTGGGGCTGGGACGCAAAGCCAGTTTCTCTGTGTTGGTGGAGGGCTCACCCCTTAGGGCTCTCGGCAGGAGTGTGCTGGACATATGGTTTCCATGCTGACGATCAGCATAAGAGTATCTCCCTGATGCCAGATTAGTCACTTACTCTCCAGAACAGAAAAATCCTCTCTAATGTTCTGTTGTGCTACCGATTGATCATCCTGTGAAGTCAGGGGGGACCTCCAAACAGCAAGCTTTGGTTACCAAATCTTTGGACTTTGGGGGGACTAATGGAGCCGTGAAGGGGGGCGATCTGTGTGAATTAGTAAGAAGGGGCCTGCATGTCTGAGTCTGTTTATCCCTCTTACTGCAAACTTCTGTTTGCTGAGTGAAAAAGTAAACAATTAGATATATCTGTGGGCTTTCTCTTCAGCCAAACACATGATAGTTATTTGCTCTTTAAAATGCTTGATACATTCTGTTTTGCTTAATGATGTTCAAAAGGATTATAACTATGTGGCTGTAAACATGAGCTGAAACAGAACCTAGCACAAAGGTATTAGCAATGAAACCTCCTTCCCCCGTCCTCCTTTCCTCTCTACCCCATTTTTTTTTAAAAGAAAATGTTTTATTGATTCATTAAATGGCCTTAAGACCTGTATATTTCTTGTTGGCATCTATACATCCTGAAACCTCATCTGTGGTCCTAACAGCTCAAACAGATGCCCCCAGCTCTTTCTTCTGGAGTTTTCTTTTCTTTGCTTTTCTTTTTTTTTCTTAAAATATGTCTTTATTGATTTCAGAGAGAGGAAGGGAGAGGGAGAGAGAGAGATAGAAATATCAATGATGAGAGAGTCATTGATCGGCTGCAGCCCGCAACCCGGGCATGTGCCCTGACCAGGAATTGAACCCTGATGGCCTGGATCCTAGGTCGACGCTTAACCACTGAGCCATGCCTGGCCGGGCTCTTTTTTTCTTTATCCATTTGATTATCAAATTAACTTCTTCCTTTTTGGTTCTAGGCGCAGACTAGATGCTCTCTCCGTTTTGATCAAATTTAAAATGGTTATTGAAGCCATCCAGGCTGGCAAATATATTCTAATATGGTTCTCGGAGAACATTTAAAAGAGCATTAAATTATATGTATTCAGGCATTTTCGAAAGGAGAGTGTCAGTCTCTCTTTCCTGAACTGCAGTGTGGTCAGTCTGCCCTCTTCTCTGATGCTTTTCCATGCTCAGGCCTGTATCTTCCCCTTGCTTTCCGGACTCCTGGTGCCTACCTGGTGCAGGGCCCACAGCCTCTCCCTAGTGCTTCTTACTTCCTCAGGGATTTTTTTTTAATAAGCAAATAATCTTTATTTCAAGTGGCATTTATTAGAGCAAAGATGAGTCTTTAGCTTCATTGTTGTCTAGTTGAGTCACATAGTGTGACATTCTAAATGAATTTAGCTTTGGAGTTAAGGAGTAAAGCCACTAATTTAGTAAAAAGGCTGTTCTGTGTGATTTCCCCTGCCAGCAAACTGAATTGTAGTAGGGACACTGTGCTCGATTTTATCTCTGTGATCCTGCCTCTAAGGGACCAGTGCAGCTAAAGGGCTTCTGCAGCTTTCTCACTGGCTTTTACCTGTTTCATTGAAACCTTACCTGTGTTGAAGCTCTGTTCTGCCAATTTCCTACACAACTCTCAGCATGCCCCCTACCGTTATCACCCACTGAATTGTTGAGCAAGCACCCAACTGGAGGCCAGCACCCCTCAAATCGAGGTGAGCGTCCAAACCTCCGGAGCTTGTTAAAGGGCAGAGAGGCCGCACACCTTCCCAGAACATTCTCGAAGCTGTGGGCTCAGGGTGGGTGGTGGGCATCTGCAGTTATACCACTTGCTGGTGGTTAGGGAACGATGTTTTGAGAAACACTGGCGTTCAGTCAGAGACTTATTTTGAATAGAATAGAATAGGATTCTGTGATTTTTATAAATGATGGTTTTTCTCAGAGCTGGGAGGCAGTCTAAATGTGCTTAAAGATTGTGTTTTAGGCACGTGGATGAATTCTTCTTCGACATCGCAGAAGCAGCATGATTTATAGGGCACTGCGGATGTGGTTATATAACACTTTCTTTGCTGCAGTTTTATCAGTCTAGTTATATTAACATGCCATTTAAGCACATCTTTATTTATTAAAAACTCCCATTTATCAGGAGTGAGAACAAACCAAACTCACATTGCAATATATATATTATTTTTTGCTGTTAATTTCTACATACACAATCTTTATCTCCACTTGATCCCACGTTTCATATGGAGAAAAATGTCAGAGTATTTGGAAGATACAATCTAATGCAGCTTTAATAATGGTCAGTATTTGACATACTAATATTGATCTTGAAGTCTGACAGAGTACAGAACTTTTTAATTATAAAAAGTTCGGGGATTCACTTCTGCATCACATGTTTTTGTTAATGCTGATTCTCTGGCCATACAAATTAATTGACAGTACACAGTAATTTAATGCAAACCTTCACTAATTCCAGCCATACAAATGAGTGATGGACTCCAGCGAGGTCATCCGGATAAAGCACACGGACCAATATGCAATATAAGGGGCCCACCCCTTTACTTATTTATTGTTACTTTTGGCAAATGCTTCTTTTATTGGATGGGTCTCGCATTCTTTAAACATGTGATACATTGAAAAGTTGGGAGTTAGGAGAATTATTTTGGAACTTGACTTATAAATTAGTAGGTCATCAGAATTCCTTAATTCCTTAAGCTATTATTTCTTCTTTTTTTTTTTTTTAGGGACTTTCTTCCTCGAGGGTCAGGCATCGTGACGAGACGGCCTCTCGTACTACAGCTTGTTACTTCCAAAGCAGGTAAGGGACGAGGCTGCTTGCCACACGGACGTCTCGTATACCTGGTGCCTCCATTCCTGGGTATTGGGTTGTAGCCACAAAAATGTGTTTTTCTGTGTTGTTTTTGTGTGTGATCACTTCGCTGTGGGGAGCTGCCTGCACTTCTCTCCAGATGCTCCCTCATTTGCATGCAGATTTTTAAACACCTAGAAAATAACATTTTATCATTGTAATTAACGTATCTATATAATTGTACAGTACAGCATGACTACTAATACTCCCACGTCCCGGAGAAATAAAGTCATCCCGTGAGGAATCCCTCCACTCCAGCACCAAGTAAAGACTTACCTGTAGTTCCCCCTCCATTTTCCCCTTTCTCCGTGGTTGCAACACAGGAGGTGTCCTTTCATCCCCAGGAGGGAATTCCGGAGGTATGGCTTGGGGGACAGGCGCTGCTGAGGCTCTGCTGCGGTGTTGGGTAAGGACTGCAGTGTCAAGACCAAGGGAGCAGGTAGAGGGTCTCCCTGAGACGAGGGGACAGCTTTCAGTGCCTCTGGGCTTCCCCTGGTGCTGTGTGGAAACTGGCTCGGGCCAGCTTCCGAGATCCAGCGGTGCACCTCTCGCCCAGTCTCTGTATCCAGTGACATCGTGGTGGTAGCTTGAAGCTCGTCACGGTGGGAGTATTTACACTATGGAAATGGGAAAATGCTGCAAATCAGGACCCTTTGCTCCTTAGGGTAACAGCTGTTAAACATTTACTAGCACCTCGCTGGGTTCCTTCTGCTCGGCACCTGATCTTACTGTTTACTGGTTAAATGACATGTCGGCCCGAGAAAGCGGATATGCCTGAGTGTGCTATTTCTGATGAACTACTGAGTATATTAAAAGTGTCACTGATTCAAGAAGTGATCCATTGGGAATTCCATGTGCCCCCGCCCCCTCCTCTCCTGGCCCCCAAGGGGGGGTGGTGTTTTTTAAAGACATCAGAATCCAAGTCACCCTTTGCTTTAGAAGTTACTGTGGAGGACTTACAAAAGTAAAGCCTGTAGGTCACAGGTAAGGACAGATGGTTTCGCCTCCTGGAGAACTTCTCTGTGCTATTGTATCGCCTCCCTCTCCTTTATTTCAATGGCATTAGTGTAAGAAATGAAGATACTGAAAATCAGAAATTACAAAGTGGACACATTGAAGGTCGTTGTTCCAATGACAGAAGTGATCTTTTGTCAGATTTTTTTGTCGCTCCCTCCATTCACACACGTCAAATATATTATCAGTTCATCAAGATTTGACTTACCACATTTGAATTGCATTTACTGCACCATGTCACATGTGTCCATGCTTTAAAAATTACATAGGATTTGTAATTTATTAGAGAACTGTTACTATTCAGTATTTTGGGTCCTTGGTTGGAGTTGCTGTACACGCCCATTTTAACAAAGATGGAGACACGAAGTTCGCAGGGTGAGCCCGCCACCCAGGTGTGTGCCCTCGGCCGAAATCAAACCCGGGACCCTTCCGTCGGAGGTTCCCATGCTCTAACCACGGATCCAAGCCAGCCGGGGTGGTTTAGTTAGACTTTAAACCCTCATTTGTGTATAATGACCAGGACTTGTTTTCCACTTTTCCACTGTTATAAATTAGGCTGAGCATCGACCTAGGATCCAGGAGATCGGGGTTCGATTCCCGGTCAGGGCACATGCCCGGGTTGCGGGCTGCAGTGATCAGTGACTCTCTCATCACTGATGTTTCTATCTCCCTCTCTCCCTCTCCCTTCCTCTCTCTGAAATCAATAAAGATATATTTTAAAAATAAATAAATAAATTAGGCTGAGACATATTAGTGAAAACATTCAAGTCTTATTTTCAGTAACAACATTGGAAATATTTTAAGGCTACAGATCTCATTTTGTTTTACATTTAAATATCCGAATTGAATGAAAATGGATATTTTAGTACGGTAAGTCTGTTTTTGCAGAGGACTAAATGTTTATTTTCTTTTCATTGTTACAAGTTAACCTCATGGTGAAAACAAATGTGATTCTGAGAACATTCTTTCTTAACGACAGCTCTGACCTTGTTCTGGTCCAGTGCCGGCTCCCGATTGCTTTCCATCGACAGGGGAGGTTAGCATACCAAGCGCAGATTCCTAGTTTAATGCCCCTTGAGTAGAGTTGTTTTTGAAATTTTCATGTGCATAAGATTCCTGGGGGTTCCTGGGCATCCCCCGCAGAAGTTGTGATTCAGTGGATCTGGGGTAGGGCCCAGGTTGCTGCCTTGTAAAGAGCTGCTGCCAAGTAAAAAGTTATTCAAAGCCATTGCTCTTTGAGTCCCACTGTGAGAAGTACCCATAACCATTTGATCGAATTCTTTCCTGTTTTCTTTTTCTAGGTTCCTTTCCTTTTTATTTATTTTAAAATATATTTTTATTGATTTCAGAGAGAGGAAGGGAAAGGGAGAGGGAGAGAGAGAGAGAAACATCAATGATGAGAGAGTCATTGATCAGCTGCCTCCTGCTTGCCCCCTTCTGGGGGTTAATCCTGGAGCCCAGGCATGCGCCCTGACCGGGAATCAAACCTCGATCTCTTGGATCCTATGTCGATGCTCAACCGCTGAGCCACGCCCGGCCGGGCTCCTTCTTTTTTTCAATAGGCTCCTTTTGATGAGAAATTACCCACCATTCATTCATTCCTGTATTTATTTATTTTTAATTCTCACCTGAGGATATTTTTTCCATTGCTTTTCAGAGAGAGTGGAAGGGAGAGGGAGGTGGAGAGAGAGAGAGAGATTGATGTAAGAGAGACACATCGATTGGTTGCCTCCCGCATGTGCCCCAACTGGGGCCAGGGATCGAGCCTACAACCGAGGTCGTGCCCTTGGCCAGAATCAGACCCAGGACCCTTCAGTCTGAGGGCCGACGCTCTAACCACTGAAAAAAAACAGTGAGGGCTGTCTTTGCATTTTAACAGCAAAAAATGAGAAGCCTTACATTATAAAGGTTAGTCTGTACTTTTTGTTTGTTTGTTTTTAATCTGTAGGAGCTTTTTCAAGCTCCTGAAGCCACACCACCTAAGTGGCTACGACTATACTTCTACCCAAGGTTAGCACCTTAAGGTAATTCCATCTTCAGTTAAGTTCAGAGTGATTTATAAATTATTTCTAATCTTTAAAACACTCTACTCATAGCAAACAGACAGCATTTCAACCTGTCTGACAGCTAATGAGACAAATGCAACATCCTAGAGAAGTAAGATAACGTATTTGGAAACACTTGGGAGAGCAGAAATGCATTATACAAGCAAATTTTTATTGGTAAATTGCTGCAGACCCGACAATTTAAGCAGTGCCACTAAATTTTTAATCAACGTGCTAATTTATAATGGATAAGGAAAGTAGGAGAAGTTAATACTGAGATGTTTTCAGAATGAGCTGGGTGAAGAATTCTGATATTTCTTTACTCGAGTGCCCAAGTTAAACTGTCATTTTGATCTTTTCTGGTTCCGGGTGTTTGGGAATGGAATATAGATCAGCGGTTTTCAACCAGTGTGCTGCAAGAATTTTTAAAACATGCGTTACCTGACTCTTTAGCTAAGGGCACTGACCTCTTTTCCCTTAGACTGTCAAATAAAAAAAAATGACAACAACCAACAGAAGAATAGCTGTCTGGTGGGAAGGAATCAAAATTTTACCTATTTTTTTGGTCAGATTGGCAAAATGTGTGCCATGAGATGTAAAAGGTTGAAAATCACTGTGATGGACGTCCAGTGCCCAGCACCAAGGCAAAAATGTCCACATTATATATATAAATTCTCATCCGAATGGGCTTCTCATTGATGTGATCACTTCTAAGAGAAAAAGGAAGGCAGCTCTTCCCTGATAACACAGGTGACTCGAAAGAAGCGGTGCCAAGGGAAACAGCCCTGCAGGCTCCTGGTTCTGCGGGGAGCCCTGCCCATAGACTTCCTCAAACAGACGAGCTTCCTGAGGGAGCAGGATTCCTGAATGGTAATCTGACCAGAGCACTAAGTGACTCCTCTGGTTAAAGTAGACTCCAGATAGAGGAAGTACTAAGGTCAAGATTTGTTGACTACAACTCAATTATGAAAACTATTCTACTTCCTAGTATTCAGATATTCAAGAGTCCTGAAAAAAATGCAGTATTATGTGACTTCCTCAATTATGTAATTTGTTTAGGTGTATGGGTTAGGAAGTACAACTATGGCTTCTCACTTAGATTTTATCTGATTTTTATATCAAAGAGAGTGTTCCAATCTATTATGTTTGTTTGTTTTTCTAGACGAGAAAAGCATTGAAGTTACCAAAAAAACCCCCAAAAAACCAAATAACCCAACCCAAATTATTTTATTATTGTTTTAATTATAGGGAAACCTCAAGAATTTACTGATTTCATGAAATAAATAGTGGCCTTATTCGTAAAATGTTCACATGGGCAATTGTAGACTATATTTTCAGTATCGTAAGATATTGCTTGCTAATTGTACCAGTAATAGAAGCACATTGTCCTACCAATACTTAGTCTAGTTTTTTCTAAATGTGTGAGTAGAAATGTTAGACATGGTTCTCCATCCAGGGACCAGGATCCGTGGTTTACCGAGGGCGGGGTGCAGAGTGGAGCTGCCAGCCTAAGCAGAGGGAGGGATGGCAAATAGGCACATTTAGTCAATAGGGAAATGCCAATTGAAACCAGAAGGAGATATCATTATACAGCTATTAGAATGTCTGAAAGGAAGGAGACAGACCATGCAGAGTGCTGCTGAGGATGTAGGGGAGCTGGGGCTCTCACCCACCGAGCGTGTCTGATATAAAATGTTACAACCACTTAGGAAAACTGCTCACAGACAAACTTTTCAGCCTCCACGGTTGTGTGAGCCTCTCCCTCCTAATAAGTCTCTTTCTATATTTCTCTCTGTATATGACTGGGCCACAAATTCAGAGCACTTGGGTAGATGGACACATAATATTTTGGGGGGAGTCAAAGATGACCCTGTAAGGGGTCATGAGGGT